CATGCGTTGCCATCGCTCACCGTCTCATCGCCGGTAAGCATACGAAAAGTGGTTGTCTTTCCGGCGCCGTTCACTCCCAACAAACCAAAGCACTCCTCCGGATGGACACCAAAACTCAGTCCATTCACCGCTTGAATGGGTATTACTTTTCCGAAAGTTTTCGTCAAATTTCTGACTACCAGTGCTTCGCTGTTAACGCTATGAGTGTTGACTAACCCATCGATCCTAAGCTTTTCTGTCTTCACATCTGAGTCCTCTATCTCTTGAACTGATGGGTTTTGAACACTACCGGTGCCCATATTTATAGCTACAACCTGGTCATTATTATCTGGTGTTTGACCATTTTGTTTGCGAAACATATACCTAATTCTCTGCCAATTGCCTTCAATTAACCAAAGTAACAGCAAATATACGGCACCGGTAACTATGAGGTATGTTAGTTCACTGCTAATCCCTGTAAAAGATAAAACAAATAATCATTAATTCAATTACTATTAGATGTCATACCGTTATGATCCCATTGAAACACATTGAGTTCATCGTAACACTGGTGTTTGGGTCGACACAAACTCTCACAACAACCGTAATATTCACTCGTATGAGGTGTGATATCCTTACACCGTCTCTCCAGGTGCTCGCGAGACATCTGTTTGCACGCGGCCTGGTATGAGCCCAGTTTGTACAGCTTTTGAATGCCGCGACTCATCGCATACACGGGAAGTATGCTCGCGATGCCGGACAGGACTTCCAATGTGTTGGGTTTGATGGCACCGACGATAAAGACGGTAACCGATAGGGCCACTCCTGTCAACAGGTATATGACCACCAAAATGGCGAAACCAGTGGACGGCAGCTTCAGTCGCAATGAGAATAAATACGCCAAAGGAATGGCAGATAAACCAAACGCGAAGAATAGGATGAATAGACCGAAAATACTCGTCGCTATAATTGCGATACAATTTATATACAATCAATAATTTTTAAATAGACAGGATATGGATAAAAAAAATAGCGTTAACATACCGTTCCCCATAAATACCTTATTGGAGTCGAAGATTGCGAATAAGAAGAGGAGTAAAACACTTGCCATTAAATGGTTAATGAGATCCCAGACATAACTGGCCGCCCAGAAGGTGTGAATAGATATGCCATTCATTAGTTGCAATAGTTTTGAATTAGTAATGCGTTCGTGAATTGGGAACAACACATAGGAGGCACCGATGAAGGGGACGGTTAGGGGAACCAGTAGTAGACATGTGATTATCATAGTAACCATAACCATCTCCATTGTATCAGAGCTCTGATCAGATAGGATCGGGTGGTTATATAATTTGATAGTTGGTTTGTCTTTGAAGTATTTATCGAGTAGTGTCTGGTATAAGAAGTTGATGGACACCGGGAGTGAATGTGTGGCCTCTTTGTTATACCAGGGAATGAGAATCAGTTCATCACTGGTTGTGGTATTAATCTGAGCGCCGACCAGATATGTGTTGATGTATTCAGTTATGTCATCCCCTCGATTGCCCTCAAGAGTCCAATTGTTTGGGTTTTCTATTATTTATTTATAATGATTAGTAAATTTATTATAAATTTGTGTATCATCTTTAAATTTAAGCTTTAAATAATACCTGTAATTATTTCTGTGGACATGTCTTGTGTTTTGGACACTTGTATGTAGAGATCATTGAGATCTTTAATGCCAGATTGAATGAATCCATGGGTTTTGCCATACATTTTTAAATTTAACTTTAAATCCTTTGTATCTTTATCTGTAAACGAACTCTTCATCGTTGAATCCAATAGCAGAATACACATGAAAAGTATGGCCGGAAGTACTGTCTGCAAGACAATCATTGGCCAATACCTCTTGGCGTAGTGGAACCGCTTCAGGAATAACGCCTTAAACTGTTGTAAACCGAGT